GCTGATATCATCATCAGATGATGATTGTTTTTTGTAATCTGTTCGAGTTCTGTTTTTCTGATTGATACATCATCATCGTCATTTCCTTGCCTTTCACTATTTATTTGGGGATCGACACAGTACCTTTTCTTCCGCAAATCCCTATTAGCCATTATACCTAGCAAACTCTCCATATAATTGAAGTTATAAATGAAATATAATATTATTATATACACGTTTATGTTTAGATTATCTAAAATTACAAATTTCATCCTCGCAGTTAATATTGTAGCAGTTAAATTTAATGCCGAAATGGAAACAAGGGTCCATGAAGGTTTAATCTCAAAATAGATGCATATCAATGTTCCCTTCTCATTATACAAGCTAATTCCTTACGATTAATATTTCGCTAACTTTTCGCTCTCCACTTCGTACGCGTGAATTTCAGAAGTAGGAGAACCAATTAAACAGACCAGTTGTAGACGTCATATCAAAATAAAACATACACAAATATTTAAATTAGACCTTCAGAAATACAACAGTGAAATATGCTTTCATATTGGGGCAATATTTTTTACGTGATGCCGAAACAAACATACACACAGACAAAATTTCTAAAAATTAATATTTTGGCTTCTATTGCTCCTACAAATATCAATTTCTTTTTAAATATATGTATTCCATGTACAGACATCGTTTAGTTACTATTTTATTATATTAGTAAAGTATTAACAATAAATCAAATATCAATATTAGAATAATATATTTATCTAGTAATATTTAATATAAATAGAATTTAATATATATTATTTGTGTATAAAATATCAAAAATAGAAGTAAAGATTAAGCTGGATCAATAATAAATATATGTTATCAGATTAGCACAAGTAAATTAGGTATTGAAATACTGTTACAAAAATATAGCAACATCAGATATATTTTGCAAGGTATATTCTAATGTAACCTTTACAACCGATTCTACCCACATCTCTAGTGATATTAGGAGTACTTACTTTTAATTTACTTTAAAAAAATATAAAAGAAATTTGCAATTTTCTGTGCGTATAGATACGTAAGTATTACACAATATCTCCGCCCGATATTAACAATTTTTTTAAATATATTTTTAAATCCTCGCCTTTACTAATATTATATACGCGTTTCTTTTATTAAATCTAAAAATACGTAAATATATACCTAACTAATTACAAAGTAATAAAAATAAATAATTACATAGATATGGTACTCTATATCATAAAAGAGAATGCTGATTGATTGACTGAACTGAACAAAATTTTGCAAATAGGTTCTTTATATATATATATATATATATATATATATATATATATATATATATATATATATATATATATATATATATATATATATATATATATGAAATATATATATACATTTATATATATATATCAATATATATATACATATATATATATATATATATATATATATAGGCTTTAAATGGTATTAAACCCCTAAGTTTTAGGAGAAATTTTACCTCGCTCTACGCATTCTACCGCTTGTATAACGGACCGTACTCAGAGGAGTTATTCAATATGATATTCACGAACACGTTTTACCATCTAGAGCTCGCCATCAACAGGAAATTCATCCACCAACAGTAGTACCAATTTCATAAGTTACATGATAGCTTTATAACGAAGGAGCTAACAAAACTTGTAATAGCTCAAATGTACTTAAAATCATATCACAAAGATAACAGGTACACTCTTGCTTACAAAATGTTTTATTTAAATTTATATTATATTAACTTACAATGTTATCGTAAATTACAAAAAATCTATTTGTCTACCATGTACAAATACTTTAAATAAATTAAACATTCCAATATATACTTAAGTTAATAACACGGTAATAGCAATTCTTCAATTAAAAGTAAATAATATGTCTGACTCAGAACAGTGAACTTTAATAGTTGGTGCGAAAAGTATAAAAACTCATCTCTTTTATGATATTAAAAAGGATAAAATCATTGGCTTTCACGAAATCGATAACATACAATTACCGACTCCAACGAAGTATGCCTTAATAGTTCAAATAAGAAGTATATTCCTTAAATAAACGCAATAAATTGGATTTGCTTTGTTATCAGACTGTAAAAATGACTATAATATACATAAATGGATAGATAAGATTATATTAAAACTTTTAAGAATTGTATTAAAAATAAAAACTTTTGTATCAGATGTAAAATTAGATAAGAAGAATTTTTGTCAACAAACCATATTTTACTATAAACGATCAAGAAATCTGCTACATTTTTGATGCCATGATGATTATGACATATGATTTTTATTTTTAAAAGGATGCTGTTGCAAAATATTAACATATTAAAGAATTCTCGAAAACAATCAAAAGAACACTTTAAACCAAGTATATAAATTAACGAGCTTTTATATCAATTCTACAAATTCTGAAAAAATAAAGTTTGTACCCAACTTTTAAGTAGATTCGCAGTATCTGGATTATCAGCATGCATAGATTTTAATATTTGTATATGTTATAATAAAAATATGAATGACTTATTTGACACACTAAACTTCTCGACTATTTATCACAGTTACTCATACAAAAATACATTTTGTGAAAACAAAAATCATACATTTATGTGATAATTTTAAACAGAAAGAACATAATTATACTCTATATTCACTATATTCACTAACGGGACGTCTCTACCAAGATAAAATTAGAAAAAATATTTAAGAAAATTTAGGTCTGAAAACGATAATACTGCAAAACAAACCAGTTATAAATTTATATCCACATTTCGTAAGATTTGTTTTACTAAAATTACGCAAGCTCCAAAAAAAGGTAATTAAGCGAAAGATCTTACAAAATTTCTTATAAAATTTAAGAAAACTTTTGAAAATGTCATTAGAAAAAGATGACGTTTCGACCAATAATAACAATAATACAGAAGAAAGTAATTTATGTGAAATTATACATTCTGAGTATGCAGGATATAATTTCCCTGAAAAATATACCCTTTTCTTGATATATAGCGCTTTTTAGAAAAAAAATATTGAGTGCTTATAATCGGGCTTGTAATTTGGCTATTAAATATCCAAATTTAGTAATGGTTTCACTTGACGATTCCACAAAGCGTTTGGAAAGGAGCAAATAAGTACTATGATTGGAGTATCTGTCTTTGAAAAAATTAAAAATATAGAATTTATATCGTCTCGCTGTCCAAAATGTTTTTTTTTTAACTATTTATTACAATGAGGCTATATTTGACATTAGTTTCCAATATTTCAAATAACAAATCTTTTAGAATCTGTTGAAATCGCCAAAAAACGTTTTCTGTAACTATGTGATTTTTTATATCTCATTCTATGTAATCTCATAATGATAACAATTTTATTTTTTATTATGTAGGCCTATATTTTTCTCTTTGTTACTATAATCTGGCATCGATGGTCGAAAATACCTACAACTATGAATATTATCCACAAAATTTTAAAATAATTAAAGATAATACACCTACACCTACATTAGAACATCAAACATGAAAAGAGTATTTAAGATAATATCATTTATATTTTATTTTGCAGGGCAAAAAAACCTACACTCAAATAGAATCCACACAGGGGTAAGCCCGTTCGTTTACAAAAATAACAATTAAAATATAAATTAGATGAGAATTAATGAAACTTCTTTTTGGGGTCATAAAAATTACGTCTATACCCTTACCATTATAAAAATACAATATATTAATAATACCAGAGGGAGACTTTGTACAAAAGTCGATTGCTTGGGTACCTCTATCCCATTCGTGTTTCAACCGTGAAGCAGTTGTGTTTGCATAGCTGTGTTTCGGTTTGAAGGGTGGGATATGGCATGAATTTACTGGGTACAGAGAAATAACACCTGAGTCCATAGGAATGGCAACTCATGGGGGGTATCATGGGCGAAACAGTATACTCTGTTATGTCCATGATACTGCTCATGTCTATAAGTGACAGTTACCACTTTCCATCAGGTGGGTCGTCAGCTTGTTAGCCATTCAAGTCAAGTTGTATAAAAAAAATACTGGTTGTGTGAACTGGATCTTTTCACAACAAAGGACATATCGCATTATTAAAGACACACACAGAAACATGATGCTCCAACGACCGACAACCTTACGCGATACTTCATCAATTTCTACACACCAAAGATCATTATATCATCATCATCTTTCTACCCTTAACCCAATTATTTATTTGGGATCCTCGTAATATGTTTTTATCCATATTACAAAAAAAGATTTGGCTTATAGCTTTAAGACCAGCTGCCTGCCTGACGTCAATCCTTTTTGGGTATGCAATTGTTGGTGACTTCTGCCACCTATATCAAAGATATCATTATAATAAAATAACATTTTAATGTTTGCTTTGCTTTTTAATGATAACTGTTAATTGGAATTAGAGTTTTTTATAATGTAATGTGATTAAATTAAATAGTCATGTTCGGCCAAAATTCTGAAAATTGCCGTATCTAAAACTTCTAAAGGATCATAAAATAAATATTATTTTGATTGTTTGAATTTAGATATAATTTCAGTTGAAGATAAATCAAACAGGGGATTCTACGAGTATATGAAGAGGGAGAAGAAATATCAATAAGTGCCATCTTCCTGGTTCAAAACATTGGTTATGGTAGTGATTTAAAGGTTTTATTGTAAGTTTTTTTTAAAAACTCATTTTGTAGATATACAATGGATAACCTACTTTCTAAAATCTTCTTCTATCCAGACAAAATATTACTTAAAACCTAATTTATGAATATTCTAAAAGGATAATAACAGCCTTACGCTGTGCAAGCGACAGAGGTAATTCATCCTAAATGGCCAGCGGTAACTTGTCATGGCTGTATTTATAAGACTCAGACAAACAAAATTCAAAACTTATCTCAAACTAAGCATGCTAGATATTTTGTTAAATTTCATAGTAATAAAAAAATAATTATACTATAATTAAAACATTACTAATAATTACCTGTAACTATCCATATGACGATAGCATTGCCACCAATAGCGACAGCCAGCATTGCAGCAAAGAGGCACACCCAGGAGTTATGGGCCCAGAGCGGCATGGTCGTGGAAGTCGGTGCTGTTGTAGGGGTCTTGGGCACAAGGACTGTAGCAGCCCCGAGGGTGCTGTGGTTGAAATCCATTTTCCATGTGAACACCACCTAAAGGAGGACAAATATTGATAATGTTGTATTGTTTACTATATTGATCGTTCCAATTTGAGGGTAGTTGTTATGGGATGTTCAAATATCACGTAACGTATTTTTTTTTAATTTTAATAGGTAGGTAGAGGTAAGTCGCGCGCTATTGTATTCGTATAGATACTAATATGTGTGTACTTTTATATATGCAAACATATATACATATCATTTGTACATTTTGCGTTTGTAATACGTACGTAGTAGTAGGAATAAAACCTTTGATAAATACTTCACCCTACCCAACAAGTAAGGGACCAGACTTAAAGGTAAACAAATTAATATTACAATATGCTAAATATAACGAGTTAATGTCCAATTTAATATTTACTTTGATGTTATTCTATAGCACTGAACACTAAACAAACTAAATAGTAGTCTGTACAGGACTTAGTTTGTTTAGGTACAAAGTATCTTACAATATATGTATCATAACACTAAATCCTTATACTTACTCCGTACTATACGCAGTTATTGTTCTGTGTACAAATTCCGAGATAATATACAAGTATTTTTAAAGATTAAGAACATAATAGCTTCAGAAACTTACTGAAAACATTATAGGTAAGTAGATTAATAAGATCTAGATAGAGTATCTCTCTAAAAAATCTCTAGAAATCATTTCATAAAAACAGTACGCTTGTCAGAAGGTATTATATTAATCTTGTTATTTGTGACTTTAAAATATAGCGCACTTTTTAGAAAGCATAAACAACATTTTTATTTTAGTGGCGTTATAGTGTTACCTCATTATTCATAAAAACTAAAACATATTTTAACTATTAAAGTGTTTTCTCACAATCACTCAAATTGGGAATTCAGTACAAAAGAAAAGGACGAAAACTTTAATAGCTAAAAGAGGTTTTCGATACGCTTAACGTTTCTATGAATAAAAAGGTTAATCTAGATAAAAGAAACAAACCTTCAGACTAGACTCACAGTATGATGCCGGTCACGATTCGATTACGGTCTGGTAAAATAATAAGAACTAAATATGCTTACTGTCCCATGTAAATATATATATATGAAGTATGCATATTCGCGAAAACACATTTACATTTATTTAAAAAGAAAAGTGATTTCTGTAACTTTAACACAAGAAATCCTCAAAACTTAGTACTACTTTATAAAACTACAACTTTATGACAGAAATGCCTACTATATGACAACGAGCATTTATAATAAACTAATAGACGAAATGTTGAATTCGTCACGATGGGCTAACTGACTTGCCTTTTCATCCTCACCAATCATCTCTCACTGGTGCCCCGCTAGTGTATACCAATAGCGCAAGCGGATTAACCATTCCATTATCATCCATCAAAAAAAAAATAGACGAAATGAAAACACTACCCTTGAATATATTTAAAAAGAAGCTAAAAAGGTGGGTGATAGAAAAATATTTTTACTCAGGTAATGTATAATTCAATCATTTTAAAGCTTAAATATGTGACTCAATTAATTGATTTATAAAATAATAATATAATTTGTAACTCATATAATTTATTATTAAAAAGCAAATATGTTGATATTTAAATAATATGACAATATGAGTAAAATAATAGTGGCATAGCATAGTAGCACAGCTAAATCAATTTTGTATGCCAGATTCTGGTGAAAAGTGTGAACAATATTTAAATATAATGTACCATCCTTTATATCACTTTTCAGACAAAATAAAGCTATTTATATTTGTAAAAAATAACCATATAAAAAACAGTGTGTATATATACGAGTAGTATCGGTAAGAAGTCAGTTCCGTTCCAGTCGTGATCAATATCGAAGTGTTTCTACTTGATAATATTTTACCAAACCGACATCAGACTATCGGACAGAGTACGGAACGTGACCGGCATTTTAGTACAGTAAAATATTTTAGTATGAACAATTCAAATTTTGTTACAGGTTACTTTAAAAATAGCCCACTTTCTGGAAGTTTTATAATTTTACTAATCTTGTTATTGGTGAGTTCTTTCACGCAAATCGTCGCATTATTAAATTATTTTTGTTGTATTATTAATACTATACTTTCAAAATTTTATTACAGTATGAGTATAAAAAAAGTCACGAAATAGTGGGTTGTTCGTATGTTTGGACGTTTTTTGATACTCAAAGCTTCATCTATACCACGTATGTTCCCATAATATGATCAGTAAGTACATACAGCATATGACCTAGACAATATTATTTATCTGATTACTCTATCAATCATAATACAATATATAATAATTTTAGATAACTAGAAAAATAATTTTGCATCGTGTCATATTGTCAATGCTTTTATAAAAAATTTCATGCGCCTGGACGTAATTTTGATTCAATTTGCTATAATTATAACCTGGGATGTAATGTAATATACGGATGTTATTTGATAGAATTAAACCCTTCCAATTAAACATAGGGATAAGAACGGAGAGTAAACATTCTACAGCCTAAACATTCACAAGAGGACACTGCTCTAAAATCGCACTTCGTGCGGTCGTGTAGACCATCTAAGTTCTAATATGTGAGGATGAATTCTCTGTCGATGGCGAGCGGTGCGATGATAAAAAGTGACTGTGGGTATCATTTCATACAATTCTAATAGGTACTTCATTTATCATTAAGTAATACGTGACCCACCAAAATATATCATTAATCCTATTTTTATCCTCAAAATTAGAAAACAAAAACCATATAAACGTATTTATTTTTCACTAAAGATAAAAATCGTCATGAGGCGTAACTGGCTTAATGGAATCTCTCCATTATATTTCACGAAAATGACAAATGAAAAAGTCATGTTTTGCAAAATTCAATCAAAATATTGCGTAGCTTTATTATTCAAAAGATAACATGAAAATGAAAATGAACGCTTTTAAAAAATATTTCTTTTATCTTTCATTTCAAGGTATTTTGTTAATATCGTCATTTTAATGTATAATCCAGGTATCAATAGTAAATGGATCAGATCCATTCGATTGCCTGATTTAAAATATATTAACAGTTATTTCTATTCAAATACATTATATTTAAAGTAAATAAAAATAGTGTAATAATAACAAATGCGCATCGCATACGCTATAATGGGATTCCGTGGCTAATTCATTTATTTCATTTTAGTACATTAATACCTAAATATTATAAAGTGTAAACATTTAGACCGTTGTCACTGAAATACGCTTAATCGGTTAAATAGATTCAAACGAAATTTTGTACTCAAATAGACCTTTCCTAAATTGTTACATAGGATACCTTATGTACTATTTATATTATTATTGTATATACAAAAACAAAGTAAAACTTATTAACCTAAATTTTATACTGATTTTATATTCGTTATATTAATGTGTTGTTGGAAAGCTAGATTATCAGTTTAACTCAAGTTTTCCACAGGCATCATTAAAAGATAAGAAGCTTCTCTCCTTATCTTTTCAGCACTTTAGAAGTCGTTATTTTGTGTCAGAATAGGTAATACAACTGCCTTACTTTAAGGAGTGATTTTAAACTACAAAATATGTGATATACCCTACCTACGTTCAAACGTCGAGACAAACAGATAATCATGATGGAACTAAAATGATTTCGTATTTTCCCGTTTAGTAGATAGACAATGAAATTCTAATATAAACAGCTTTAATTACAACATCTGTTTTAGGCAACCTTATAATGAAAAAAAGTAATTAGATATTTCAGTTAATGATTATTCATGCCTATAAGCAATGGTTATCGTGTTCTTCTGAATAGGCTGAGCCGATAGATCTTATAATTTTAGGTCGTTTATAAGCATTTAGTAGTTCCACAATTAGACTAGAATACTTCTGATTCTAAACCTAAACTTAAACTCAGGGCAAACGCGTAGGCGAAGGACTTTTGTCCTAGAATGATAAAGGTTCAAAATATAGTCATTATAATTATTATAGTAATAAAGTTGTCTAATAATAATAGTCCTATAAATGTTTATAGGTAATTGATTAGATAACAATTTATAGCAAGGCTATTGAATAGGTAATTCTTTAGACACTAAATAAAATAACTGACTTGGTTTTACATGAAATTTCACGACTTTTTGTAGTGGAAAGACTGCGTGTCGAAGCTTGGCATTTTTTTTACGTTTTGTGTTTTGATTTGATTGACATATACTCCTATATATACCTTTATTAGGTAAAGGAAGAGATCAACTAGTGATCACTAGTCGAAGCAGAGGAATGTAAAGGTAAAGCAAAGATGCCAGTATATTATTAACTGTTTACGAAATCAAAGCTCCAATCTAGATGTTTGTCTGTTTCCATGGAACTTAATGAAATGTAAACAATCTAATAATAGATCCGACTAAAAACAGTCTGCCAATGTCCGATAATAGCATGAATAAAAAAAATCAGTCAATTTATTAAATGTTTTGATATAAAAAAAAATGTTTCTCTCGTAATTTCAACAAAACTTGATTACTTTTTCAAATATTTGATACGGACTGTAGTCATGTTTACATATTTTATGATTATATAATATTTTAATGGCCATGAAAATAGGTACTCAGTGGACTGCTCTTTCCTGCAAAGACATTTCCTTTGTGCTCATATAAAATGTATTATAAAAGGCAACTTCAAAGAGAAATTCAAGAGCAAACGCAATAAGGGTCAAGAATTCTGAATTCTCGACCCATTTAATATAACTTTACTAATATAACGATAAGCTATTAACTTCATTCATAACCTTACATTGTTTGGTCTGACATAAATAACTATTAGGAAAGTTATCTCCTCTCAATTTCAGTCTAAATGTATAAAGGAGATTATAAATAGAATCAACATTGAAGCAGAGCCAGAATTTGAAGAGCGTTTTATAACCGCTCCTGCCACGTTTGCAGAGCCACTGTTTTATTCAAAAACTAATAAAAATACGGAATGCCCAGAACAATTCAGGTCAGGAGCTGAAGTCTTTTCTCTAGATCTTACTATAAACATATATATACAAATAATGGCGAA